CCTCCTTTTTTAGTGTAAGAATTGAAGCTGGATAAGGACGTGAAGTCCTGATCCACAATTTAGCATAATCGCTTTCTTCTTGACTAAAAGGGCTCTTTGAGTTAACATATGTATTTAAAGCCTGGCAAATCCAGTCTTCAAAAGATTCAAAAGTAGGCCAGAAGACATGTGGTTTCAAAGGTTCCTTTGGCCATTTAACCATGCAATAGTGGACTAATTTTAATTTACTTTTTCCTCTTCTAGGACCTCTGTCATTCGAATTTCTAATCATTATGCCTAGTGGACTATCTGGTGGTATATCCAGTAATTTACTCCTTTTTTTCTGGTCCCAGATTTTTGATTCCTTTTGACCCATCTGGAAGTTTAACTGTGGCAAGTCCTACAACCCTTGTAGGGGGTTGGATCCAGGGAGTTGAATCTCTTATCTACCTACGTGTCCCTTGGGAATTTTCTACAGCAATTCCTCTCACCCTGGAAATTTTCTATGGCAATTCCTCTTGCCCTTGGTTACCAGTAAGACTGTCTTGCGGAGGGCTGATCTCTCTACCCACCCACGTACCCCTAGAACCCGTGCTTCCACCCACGAGTCCTATAGGATCCGCTTCAGTCCTTCACAGGCCAAATCCCTCGCGGGAGTTTGGAACCACAGTTATGTCCCTGAAATTCAGGATAAAAATAACTTATCGACACCAATGTGATGCAGATAAGCAGACACTTCTTTATTGATGGCCAGACATGTAGAGGAGTGCTCTCACCAACAACACGTGCCGAGCACCAGAATCACACACCTTATATAGAACTTACTCATACATACTCATTAACTATTCATACATAAACACACAACTTCCATGAAATCATTAACATATTCTCCTCCTATTTCCGAATCTGCGCAGTAAAGATTAGAAATGTCTAGAAATGGCTCTGGGGTGTAATGTGAGTAGGTGGTCCATGGGTCAGTGGTTGCAATCTCCCTCTGCCAGAATTACCTTCTGCTTAAGGACACAGTTTTCTTGGCAGGTACCTGCAAACTGTTATGGTTACTTCCCTCAGTTCCCATTAATCCTGCACCTTGACAACTACTTGCATTCTTCTAGTCCTATGTATGTATTATAAATCAGTTTACAAATTACCTCATATTTTGTTACCTAGGTTCTAACCGTTCCCATTAAACAATTATGACCAGTCCCTTAAGCCTTGGTATGGGGCTGTACAGGGGATTTTAGAGTAGCAGTCGGTTCTAGATTAAAAATACAATAAATGTAAAATGATTTTTACCAAAATATATCTTAATTCTATACTTTTATTAAAATCAAACACAATTTAATTTCAGTTGTTAATAAAATCAGTAACATTTAGAAGACTTCCACACTTGATTTGAAACTCAAATTCTGGCTCCGAAACTACTTTCGTTTCTAGAATGAGGTTCCACCTCAATCACACTGTCACGCACAAGGAACAGAGTTCCACCCAACTTAATGGTATCCCTTATACTCACGACTCCGTCGTCCTCATTCGGGTCTTTGTGCACCAGAATTACGGGTATTTGATACTGCAGTCTTTCCTTTGGAGCTCCAATTCCTTTGGCTATTGCTTCTCTTTAGACCACTGATCTCTGGAGACTGACTCAGAATACTACTCTCGAGCCACAATCTGTGGGGCGCCCCTCGAGGAGCCACAATCCAGGAAAGCACACCGAGATCACGTCAGGGTCACCAAATTGTTATAATCAAACGAGCCAGTTTTAAATATATTTTTAATTGGGTTCAATTGATTTAGGGTGAGAAACAATAGACAAAGCAGTGCAGGGTGTGCTGGGAGTTTCCACTCCACCAAAACACACACAGAGTTCTAAAAAGCAGCGTCTTTTATACTCCTGTACCACTGTCTTAACCAATCCTCTCTTGTCAGATGATTGTCCTGCTCTTTCTCCATTGGATCCTTTGAAAGTCTCGAAGTCTTGGTCTCTTGGTGCGCTTTTCTCCTATTGGATCTTTTAAAAGCCTCATGATGCCATCTTTTGGTGGGCTTTTCTTCCAGCAGCAGTTACATGTTATCTCTAGGTGATGGGGTTTCCGAGAAGTAGTTACATTTTTCCAACAGAATGGCATACTTCATGTTTTATCCATGTATATTAAAACATTCATTGTAATACAGGTTATAGTAACTGCAAATCATTTCAAAACCCACACAGGGTACCATATTCTATTTTTACAATACTTTAGACAGCAGGATAGTATGGTTTAACACTTACAGATCATTCAAACCTATCGTACCCACCTTGCTTAACTTAGCAAATTAGTTACAAGAGTTTATTACAATTTGGAAGGGCTGGGTTATTACAATTAGTTCGGGGAATAGGTGTGATTGTTAGAATTATTCAAGGGGAGAAGTATGTGGTCCTCTTCACAGTGTCCCGCTGTTAAGCAAAGTCCAGTTTTCTCCTTCCTCTTCATGAATTTTTCAACTTGGCTTCCTGTGCATACTCTCTGGCCCTTTGCTTCCTCTCCAGGTTGTAGAGTCAGTCTTTACCTGTTTGTTTTGTTAATTGGAACTTTTGTGTCAGTTAAGATGTCCCAGAAAGTCCTTTAGCTGGTATGTCTCCCCCTTTATCTCAAAGTCAGGGATTAGTTTACTATCTATCCTGGTTATTGTAAGAACGTTATCTAGATAACATTGCCTGAGGGCTAGCACTCCTTTGAGTTTTTCTGCTTTCCTCAGATCAATTAAGGCGAAAAACCTTGACGAAAGGGGATATGGACATGGTGAGAAAGATTGTTGCTCCTGTAAGCCATGAGCCAGGACATCAGCCACGTTGGGAAGGACTGCATTCTTCTGTTATTGAAGATCTACAGAAAGCACTAATGAGGACGGGCTGCAAAACTCATTTACAACAGCTGTACTGGAGGCAGTCGCTCATAGGTATCAACTGGTCCCATGGAATTGGCCGGCATTTTAAAAACTGGCATTCATGCCTGCACAGTATTCTATCTGGAAATCCGAGTGTGTGGATCTCTGTGCTCAGCGTCCGCGCCCCCACACCTGCAGGCGCGGCGGCTGCCCGGGGCCG